GGCCTGCAATGTTTATAGTGCTTTATGTTAAGATTTGTAATATTTATTTTTGTAACTTTATTCTGCATAAAACATTTAAAGTTTAAATTTCATAAAATAATTTAAGAGGGTGTGTTTAGGGGTGGCGTTAAGGCCAGGGCAGGGGAGGGGATAGGTGGGGCAACTGGTGGCTAGTAGCTTAGGACTTTTTTTTTGAGCCCTGGTAATATAACACTGAAGTAAGCACTTCACATTTCATATTCTTGAAGAAAGGAATATATTTCTCATTCTTCTTTACCTAATTGCCAGGGCTTGAAAAATTTGACGGTGTCTCACCAGTCAGTCAAAAATTTCACCAGTCAGCATGACCGGACTATAGCCTTGCAATTTATGTTAAAACATTTTGGGGACAGATAGAGCTTTCTTTCGTGATCCCACGGGGGGTTATTTTTTTTACTATATAATGAAAAAAGTACCATAAATGTAAAAAATAAATTTTCCCTACGTTATGTTATAAAACATTTATTCTTACCCATATTTTTAGTAAAACATAAAAGTCGGGGTCACATCAGGTAAATAGACACCAAACATGTCAAGCCTTAAAATTGCGTGCGCCCGCAAAAAACGCCCATAGGTGACGATTAAAATGCTTTTACTGCTCATCAGTTTAGTGTTATCAGTGATTAATGGCTCTAACATTATTGCTCTCACTCTGACGTTTGAGGCGATATATAACATGTTACCTGAAGTGAATGGTGACTTTTGAAAACTCAAACACCGATAACCTGCATATGGCGTTGCCCAGTTCTATCAGTAAAATAACTTTGGAACACTGACTGATCTGTTACATGGATGGTTGTAACTTAGACTTTCCGCTCCGATACACCCGGTCCCCGGAGAGCATTCATAAGCAACCAGTTGCTTTACCTTGGAGAACTTTCTCTGATTTATCATGGGCAGGATGCCGAGCGCCAAGGAACACAGAGAAACCAAAGCAGACTCCCTAATAGAAACAGCGCGACTCCAAGATGGCAGGCGCACTAGGCAACAAGGAGCTGCCTGCATCACCACAACTTCTGGCTGATGTACATGATTTCTCTTCCCTGGACAGTTTACTGCTCACCCCAGGTGACAATTCTGAAACCATCAGAGACACAGCACTCCTTGAGAAGTTTCGGGTGATGTAGACTGAACTGACTGCTGCCACTGATAGATTGACTGAGGCTCTGACTAAGGAGATTAGGGCTCGCACTGACTTACTGGAGAGAAAGATGAATAATGTAATTAGTGATCGATTCCCACGACAGGGAACTAGACACTGTACATGCTGATCTTACCTCTGCATTAGATAAGTTAGGGGATTTGGAGAATCTGGCTTGTTGTGGGAATCTGCGCATAAGCAGTTTACCAGAATCCATTGTTGATCTTACATCAAAGGGGGTTCTTCACAGTAAGATCAGTTAGGGTCTGGAACTCACTGGCACAGGCGGTGATTTCAGCAAATAATGTGGAATTGTTCAAGAAACTTTTGGACGATTTCTTAAGGGACCATAATATACAGGGGTACAGGTACTCCTAGAATGAGATCCTAATAGGTTGGACTTGATGGACTAATGTCTTTATTAGAGCTGCAGCTAACGATTATTTTCGATTAGTTAGCCGATTATTAAGTTCGGTTAATCGGATAAAAAATACATTTTAAAAAATGGCTACAGTGATGGGACTTCTAGTTTGTATTGAGATTGCAGCAAGCTTGGAGCGGTGGAAGTAAAAAAGAAAAAAAAAGTTTGGTGACTGATGGAATAATCAGGGATGCGTGATTCCTATCACCTGACGCCTGGGACATTTACTGCATCACCAACCCTATCTGCCAACCCTGGCATGATCGGGGGCCATACATTGCTCGGTGCCATTTCTGAAGGCACCCTCTTACTGGCAGGCCCTGCCAAGCTCTTTCTGGGGGAATGTCAGGTACTTGGCTACAGTTAGTCTTTTTATTGGGGTTCAGAGGCATCACTCGGGGTGTCATTGAATAAAGACATGAGTGCACAGGTTCGCCAGGAATGAACTGCTTTCACTGTGCCAAGATGGATGGCACACTGGGCAGAGGTTTGGAAATGCCGGGATGTATGAGGATGGGGGACTCCCCATGGCAGGATGCTTCATTCATGAGATTTTGTATGGGATAGCCATAGATCGGACGACCGCACATACACACGATCTGCAAGTGATGCCAGTGGACAGGGCCGGTGCTAGAGTAAGGCTGCATATTCAGCTTCCTGAGGGAGCCGGGGGTGGGGACAGGAGATGGAAAAATGCACATTCGCCTGCGTAGGCAAAACTCCTTGGAAGTGCCCTGGCCGAACACTATCTTGGCCGGGAGGCAATTCTATCAGCAGCTCTCGGAGAACCCTTGACCCCCCGCCTCTGCTGCAAAAGCTTCCGCTGATTTATGCTCCTCCAGTCTTAGTGGCTGTGGTACGTTTTTTGATTTTATTATTTTGATTTTATAATTTTTTTTTTTTAGGGATGCACCGATACTAGTATATGCTCCGATACCGGAATTTCCGGTCAGAGGCAGTTCCGTGGGGGACCATGGAGCCGGCTTCCCGGCCATTCAGCCCGGCCTCCTAATTGGCTGGGAAGGCGACTTCCCGGCCAATCAGCATGGAGCCTGCCAAACTGCATGGAGCCAGCTTCCCGTCCAAACAGGAAGCCGGGCGGTGGGTAATGACTTCCTGATTTGGCCCGGGAAGACGACTCACTGCTGAATGGCCAGGAAGCTGGCTCCAGTACCGGTATCTGTGTTTGATATCGGCGAGTACAGAAAGATAAATATCGGTACTCTTAGTCAATACAGAAAAACCGGTATCGGTTCATCCCCAATTTTAATAGATTAGGACCCTGCTCTTTAGTCCTGTTTTTTTTCAATGTCTCCATTTCCCTCTCTTCTTTTGACTAGCTCTTTTTAAATCAAGACAAGAACTCTTAATTTCAGAAGGCCAAACTTCGATAAGTTGCGCAAACTAGTGGGGGAAATAAAATGGGATAACTCATTTCACAACCTAAACTCAGACAAAATGTGGGACTGCTTCAGGCACACTTCAGGCACGCGTATTTACCGCGAGGCAAACTAGGCATCTGCGTATGGCGGCACCCTCTGGTCGGTGCCGCCATACGCAAACGCCTAGCGCCGCGGTTCAGAGAAGGGGAGAGAACCGGAGCCCTTCTCCGCGGCGGGGACGGCGGCTTGCGGGGACCCGGAT